TTTAGAATCTTACAGATTTCAGTAAATGGCATGAATTTGGAATTCTTGCATTTGCAGTAAGGATTTGGGAGTGTGAAAGCAGAATCATTGAAGTTATGTTCAATTGATCTAGTTCACAAAGTAAAGATCATAGACAAACATAGTATGCATACTTGGTGTATGGCTTGACTAGTGTTTAGAAAAACATAGTGTACATGCTTGGAGCATGGGACAACTATTGTTTTAAATTCAAGAATAAAGTTGATAGCTGAAACAGTATACAATGAATAATGTGTAATCATATGGTGATAAATAAAAGGTGTTTTATTTATATTCATAAGTTCTGAGACCATATTGGATTCAATTATTCTTGTGTTTCATTTTGCATGTTTTGACTTCCCGAATAAACTAGGTTATTCTTCCGGAATGACTAAGTTATTCAAACCATCCACAGTCGGTCATATGTTGGAAGTAGATATGAATTAAGACTGTCATGGGTTGGCTTGTAGAGGTCTAAGATGTTGGACAAAGGGCTACAACACTCATGAGTGCTCATAAGTTCTGAGTATTGGATTCAACCCGCGCTCATTGGAATCACTTCATGGATTTTATCACGAGTGATCATGAGACGATAATATCTTATATTCTTCAAACCTAGAGATATGAGTTGTTACTATGAGTTGGTTGTACATTGATTGCACGAAACTGCATTTGGTAACTTGGTGCTATAAAACGTGTCTTTGTGTATGATTCAACAAGTAGTAGAACAAGCCATATGAGTCAAAGTTTATCCATTCCTTTTACCTTCGGGATAAAAGCGATATCTGTGGGCCCCTCGATGATTTGATGATGACAAATGGAAGTGCTCGGCCGGGCCAAAACTGATTTGATTTGTTCAATTAGTCAGTGGTCATAAATCGGAAATCGGGAAACAACAAATGGGCAGAGAGAATGATTATAATCCATGTCTCAGTCCATATGATATCTAGAATGGAGGAATATATGATCCCTTATCTAATGGACAAGTCATTGACAAGATCAGAGTTCATCTACAAGGTCAGAGTTCGACAGAAGCTTTTGAGAGCTACGATTGCCAGTTGGTTCTTGAAGTCATACGCAATAATAGTTTTAGACTTATCCAAGTGGGAGACTATTGGATTAATGTCTAAGTCCATAACTATAATTGGTAAGACTTGACCCGACCCGGCATGGTCCATTTGGGTTGCATACCATCATGCACTTGGATAGACTAAATGAGAGAAATAAGACACTTACGGTTATTAATATATTATAAGTTCTAATATATTAATAATAAGAATAATAAGATTATTTAATTAGTATTGATCAAGAATTAATCTAGGATTAATTAAGTGATCAAAAGAAGACTAATTAAATATATGGGTTGATTGTGTAAATCATCCATACTTGTATAGTGGGCTAATGCTCCATGGATTATCTAGTTGGGCCAAAACCCATATGATCTCCATGGATGCTCCATGGTGTATTTGAACCCATGGATCCAAGGAAATGGAAAGTCATGACAATTAGGTTTACCCTAATTGTAACACTATATATAGATATTATTCTTGACCAAAATCGGCCACTAGTGAGAGTAAGAAAGGGCTAGCCGATTTTCATGAAGTGTAGAACTCTCTCAAGTTATTCTAAGTGTTTTGATGATTGTGAACCATTTGAGGTGTCACACTTGGGGCACTAGGCACTCAAGCTTCATGAAGACAAGCACCATCAAAGAGGTATGTATTCTATCTTGTTATATTGATAGTTTTGTATGCTAGATTAGGATAATACCTTGGATGTTCATATTTGCATGTATAATAGAGAAAACATAGATCCAAGGTATTTAGGGTTGCATGTACACTTAGGAGTGTTAGAATGCTCATAACCCAACAGTTTTCGCCCTCATGATTTGCTGACATGACCTCTATGAAGACCGATGTACCATTTACACGGACCACAAGAGTTTGAGGTACCTCATGGATCAACCAAATCTGAACATGAGGCAACATAGGTCACTAGATGTGGTGAAGGATTATGATTGTGAGATCCTCTACCACCTAGGGAAAGCCAACATTGTGACTGATGTGCTTAGCCACAAGGTGGCCCTAATTAGAGACATTTTCTTAAGGATGACGGTAGTGACTCCACTGTTGGAGTGGATCCGAGAGGAGCAAGTTGAGGGCATGAAAGAGGACCGCCGGAACTGTAAGCGAATCGTAGGCTGGGTGGCCTCGTTTGACTATGATAGTCAGGGGCTGATGACCCTGCATGGGAGGGTCTAGGTTCTATACTGCTGAGGAGTACGATAGATTTTTTTTGGATGAGGAACACAAACCCAGGTTTTCTATTCATCCTGGGGCGACGAAGATGTACAAAGATCTCTGTCTTGGTTATTGGTGGCCCTACATGAAGCGGGATGTAGGCTAGTACGTTGCAAGATGCCTGACCTGCAGGAAGGTCAAGGCCGAGCACCAGAGGCCTCATGGCAAGACACAACCATTGGACATCCTTATGTGGAAATTGGAAGATATTACTATGGATTTCATCACACAGCTTCCCAGGACCGCACAGGGAGTAGATTCGATTTGGGTCATCGTGATCGGTTGACCAAGAGTGCCCATTTCATCCTGATCCAGGAGAGTATTTTGGCCAAGAAGATGGCGGACATCTACATCAGGGAGGTAGTATCTCGTCACTTCTAGATTCTGGTAGAAGTGTCACGACGAGTTGGGTACTCGTCTACACTTTAGCACCACTTTTCACCCGCAGATGGATGGTTTGAGCGAGCGGACCATCCAGACTTTGGAGGATATGCTGTGGGCATGTGTTTTAGAGTTTGGTGGAAATTGGGATACATACATTCCATTGGCAGAGTTTTACTACAATAATAGCTACCACGAGATGCTATACAGGAGGATGTGCAGACCCCTATATGTTGGGGTGAGGTTGGATAGAGGGTTGTGGGGAGTACCGAAGTGGTACTTAAGACGATGAAGAGGATCCAAAAGGTCTGAAGCAAGCTTCAGATTACTTAGATTCAGCAAAAAAGTTATGCCGACAAGAGTCACTCGGACCTGGATTTCCAGGTCGGGGATGTGGTCCTCCTGAAGGTGTTACCTTGGAAAGGTGTCATCTGATTCAGAAAGTAGGGCATGTTGCACCCCAGGTACATTGGACCTTTCAGTGTTGCAGCCTGGGTGGGCAAGGAGGGGTATAGGTTGGACTGCCATCCAAGCCTAGCTAGATTCACAGTACCTTTCACGTCTCCTAGCTGTGGAAGAGCTTAGTAGATGACTCTGCAGTGGTGCCTCTAGAGGATATTCAATTTGATGACATCCTAAACTACAGAGAGCGACCAGTAGCTATCCTCAAAAGGAAGTCGAAGGATCTGAGGAACAAGAGGGTCGAGCCGGTGAATGTACAATGGCAGCAACGCAAGGGCTCAGAATGGACTTGGCAGCTAGAGGACGATATGAGGGAGAACTACCCCGAGCTTTTTTCGGATGTAGCAGCCGACTTCGAGGATGAAGTCTAAAATAAATGGGGGAGAATTGTAATGCTCGGTTCCCGATACATATTTTTAATATGAATTTTTTCATTTTTATACTAGGACTCGTCGAGTTGGAGGCCCCAAACTCGTCGAGTAGGAGTGAATCTTGGACGCGGGAGGAAGAGTCTACTCGATGAGTCGGAAGCTCCGAC